AGATAGATAGATAGATAGATAGATAGATAGATAGATAGATAGATAGATAGATAGATAGATAGATAGATAGATAGATAGATAGATAGATAGATAGATAGATAGATAGATAGATAGATAGATGAGAGCAATTCAATCTTTGTGGAAGAAGAACATCAGCAGAGGTAGGATAGCCCAGAGCACAGAAATTAAACAGGGCTTTACAGCAAGTATTGCTCCATATGATCTAACTCCAGATGAAAACAGAAGGCCACTGCTGGTATGAGCCAGACGCAACAAATAATCTGTCTCCCCCATCCCAGGCCTCTTGCCCAGCCTCCCTTCACTCACGCGCCCAGCTTCTCTTTGACATCATAGACGCTGGTAATATCCTCAACCTTTTTCTTCCAGCCTTTCCCAAGTGGCATCGTGGACAGCTGTGAGCAGGCCGTGCAGAAAGAGCTGCGGAAAGAGATGTTGGGTGGGAGAGAAGAAAAATGTAATACATGCACACTGGAGGAAAATAATCATTGAAACAGGGGTCAGCTGATTCCCACGACTCCTTGGGCTGAAAACATCTTGGCTGCTCCTCTCTCTGTCCTTGGATACCCAATAGCCATCCAAGGTGCGACCGCACACAGGACTGAACTAAGACATTTTGGTATCTAGAATGGAAAATATTAAGAGCACCCTCCCTCTCTCTCTCTCTCTCTCTCTCTCTCTCTCTCTCACCCACACACACACACACACACACACACACACACACACACACAGAGAGAGAGAGAGAGAGAGAGAGAGAGAGAGAATGTGTCTTCAGCATCACAATTATAGCCAAGCTGGCTAGACTTGAAAATAAATTTGTACATGACAGAGAGAACCCAAAGATGAAATCACTTCTGAGAAAAGAAAGCAATGCATAGAAAGTTAAGCAACAAGAGATTAATTGAACCCATGAAGTTATTATCAACATCATATCCCAACTCTGGAACATGTAAATGACAAAATGCCTGTCTGAGCCTGTGGACTTAGTTCACCATGAACAATAGGCTACCCCATTATATCCAATACTAGAGCCTTCATGTCAGAAGGTATACCTTGCTTATTCACAACACCACAGCAGAACAACATCTTTCGGGATGACATGCAATTCTGCACTCCCGTCTTCCATTTACCTGGACAACTCAATGGCAGGAATCCTACTGATGTTCGTGTAAGACTTGCATACTCTACCGTGGCTAAATACAAGGTGTCAGCTCACATTTCAGCTGTGTAACTGGGCGCATGACCAGGCCCATGGGTGAGTTGCACCCCAACACCTCATTCGTTAGCCACAGGAAATTGGGCAAATCTTAGGCAGAGACCTCGGCTGATTCCAACCAACGGCTCTACATCAGACATGAGCAACTACAACTATGATGGGAAATGTTCAGCCCTCTATTTGTTTTGGATTCCAACTTCTACAGGCCTTACACGCGGGGCATGCTGAGTGACATCGAATGGGAAGTCTAGGTGGTTCCAAAAGAAGACCGTGGGCCAAAACCAGCTGCTGCAGGGATGACAGCTGGATTTCCAGTTTCTAACCAAGAGAGGGAAGATTGGTGTGGGGCAGAACAGAAGATGCAGCAATGGCATTTGCCTGCAGGCTATTTTGGACAAGCTAGGAACTGGCCTTGTATCTCACCCTCCATTTCAACCATCATCTTCAGAGCCCAGAGCTCTGCTCACTGTGAGATTGCAATCCTGCACATGCCTATGTAAATTTTAGCCGCCCCCCCCCCCCAGAGGAGTATGCCATTACTGGAATACACATTAGATTCCCCAGACCTCTTTGATTAGATAAATAACAAAATCTGGTGACTATACCATCAACCTAGGGTAACATCATCACTATAATTATCATGGAGAAAAAAATCAAAGAACGTTTTCTATTTTAAAAACCCACTTCAAATCCCACATCCTTAATCTTTACGGGTGTGGCCAAAAGTGCTGTTCTCCAGATGTTGTGGTACAACAACTCATAACATTCCTTACCACTAGCTAGGACTGATGGGATATTGTAGTTCATCAATATCTGGAAGACTGTACGTTGTCCAGTACATATATAATAAAACTATACAGCTGCTCCTCTCCTTTAAGGCATTAAGCATTGGGCAACAGGAGTGGCTGCAAGACCAGTTAAGCGGGATATAAATAAAATAAATAAACAAACAATAGGGCACTGCTTTAAAAACATTGGGTTGTAAAGGGACAGCCAGAGTATTCCACGCTTTGCAATTACCTCTTGTCTCTTTAAGACGTTGTTTGTTTTGTTAATGTGACCATATGGTCATCAAACAAAAAGGTAGGACCCCTCCAGCACACCTACTGGTATGCCGCAGCCAGCCACTGTTGCCAGCCCCACACACACAAACACACACACACAAAAAAAACTGGGCCCTGTCCTTGTGTCATTAACTCTTGCAGACATCAATCAGAGGTGATGTTAACCTCTCTACTATGTACAGCTTTGATTGTGGATTTCTGCAGATACAACTGCTGTTAGAGGCCTCTGTGGCAGGTCAGAATGACTTTCTTATTTGTTAGTTGATGGGCTGGTTTGTATTTTGTAGTCAACTGACAACCCAGATGAAAATCCAGAGCAAAAAAGTACTTCTGAGGGTAGGGATAGGTTGAATCATGTAAACGTAGTGGTTCAGTTCCCACAAAGGGATATGCACAAAAATGAGGCATTAATGTCACATATACTCACAATGGTATATATTACCTACAAGCTAGAGGAAAAGATAATCAGTGATAAAAGAACAGCACTGGTGGGAAGGACGAAAGAGAGAGAGATTATGCACTCATGTCAAAACTGATTTGCTCTACATGCATAAGTGATGGTTACCAAAAAGTAAATAATTATAAGGTCTCCTTTTATTAATTCCCAGAGTATGAGAAGATGGGTCAGAATCAAATCTAGCTGCCCAGGTTAGAGGGACTTTATCCTGAGCAATCCCCATCAAAATGGATAGGAGCTGGGCAAAAGCCTGAATTGCCAAATGGGCAAAAAAAGAAAAACAGTATGTGACTGGCCAACATATGCTAAACTTCTTGCGGAAACAAAATGATTTCAAACGATAAAGAAAAGTAATATTCCTCACTTCCACGCTACACAACCCATGTGAAATTTTGTGTGCACTATGTACACAATGTGTGAATGTGAGTGAATATAATACTGTACAATGCCTGAGTTGACAGAAACTTTGCATTAAATGGTGCCAAATTCGTTACGGAGCCTGGCCACTTACTGGTGGCAGATCCAATTGTTAGTCCCAATAACGATGAACCCACTGAATCAAAGGGATTTACAAAATTGTTAACCAAGTTCCCCTTGATTCAATAGGTTTACTCTAGTTAGGATTAGCAGTTTTCTTAAGACAATAAGTATAGGCTATTATCTGGGGAAATCATATTTTCAGCCCCCAAATCCACTGTCTGAACTTGTACAGGATGTTCTCTAAACATTTGCCCCCAAAGGTTAAAAATAATGTATAAATAAACATGTTGTCTCTCTTTTTCATGCTTATTTTTTCTTTATAAAATAACCCTATTAGCACAGTAGGATCCCAGGATGCTTGGGCCATCCCAAGATATTCTGTTGCCTGAGGTGAAGGACAAGAGGGTGCTCCTTTCCCAGTCAACCTACAGAAGCTGATGGAACGGGAGGTTTGACGGATACTTGAACACGGGCAATAGAACAGTGCCTTCAACCACAGCTGGAGCAGAAGTGGTGTGGCATACACAGCTTTGTCCCCTAGCCTAGCCGGCATCATCTGGCGCCTGAGGCAACCACCTCACCCTGCTTAATCCCAGTCAGTCAGCCCTGACATTAAAGGGCATGTGACATGTGCCAAGGCTTGCAGGTAGGTTGGGATATAGGGCTGCAGAAATAAACAAGGTAGCCAAGCTTACAGTAGAAAAGACCTGTGAAAAACATACAGTTGCCATCTGTCAGGCACTCAGCACACATTTTGAGCCGCAAAGCGAAACAGATACAGGTTTAGAGATGGCCAAAAAGCTTTCAGATGGCTGAGGAGGAAACTCCAAAAGACACATTTCCATTCTTTTTCCCCCTTGGCTTGCTCTAAGTATTATGTGCTGGGGGGGGGAGGCATACTTGTTATGCCATATCAAGTAGCAACGTGTCTCATGCCAGGCTTGTGATGGAAACACCAATAAGCGCCTCCTCGCCACCGCTAAATCCAGCACTTTGAACAGCTTCACCCCCTGACTTCCTGATCTGAATCAAAAGAGAAGTGGAGACATGAGGAAAAAGGCCCCTTCACAATAGAAAAATAAGGAAAAAAATTAAAATTATTATTGTTATTTATAATTCTTGGCAAGACACCACAAGAGCCAGGATGAGACCTGCCACTTAGCAGCCCTCTAGGAAAATTGGCGGCTAACCCAAGATGTCCTATGTGCAAAGAGTTATTCATCAGTCCCAGTTTGATCTGTGAGGAATTAACTTCACTCGCTCAGAGCCATCTGATGAGATTAATCGTTCTCAGTCTAATGTGTTATTACAGTAGTAGGCAAAGGGAGACAGTCACCTCAGGCAGCAGATTCTTGAGGCAATGAAAGGATTTTTTAAGAAGTTATTTAATGAGTAATTGTTATATATTTTTATAAAGTAAGGGGTGAGGGAATTGTGGAACTTTCCACCTCAGGTGCCAGAATAATTTGGGTTGACTCCTTGTTGTGTCTCGGGCAGCAACATTTCTTGGGCTGCCTCTGCTTGTGCTCTACCCAGATCACCATATTAATACTAGTGTTGTGGCTGTCATAATCCAGAGATGGGAAACCGACATGTAGCCTTTCAGATGTGGCTGGACTTCAGTTCTCCTCCACCCCATCTCCTCACAACCTCCTTGACTATGCTGGCTAAGGGAACGAAAGCTGCAGCCTAACAACATATACACACAATTACTTGTTGGATACATAGCCCCCACCCCTGCAACTTCTCTGTTTCCTCTGAGTTTAGCTGCAAGCTTCACACTAGCTGAGAGAGAAAGAGATGGTTGCAGGAACAGCATTTTGCTGCAAGCTGCCCCTACTATAAAGTATTTGAAGATGGTTTCATCCTGAATGGGCAAATAATAGTCATTAATCTTACAAAAGATCTGCTCTTCATTTTTTTTTGAGGAGGCATGATTCTGCTCCTGATGTTATTAGATCCTACTCAGGAAAGTGTGGACTGACTATGAGGACTGTCATAACAAGCATCTGCACTTCCACATTTACCACTGTGGTGCCAGGTGTATATCATGTTAGAATGGATAGAATGTGTTTGTCTGGTGTCTGTACACTACAGTATTGATACTATGTTGAGAAAATGTTGAGGAGGAGAGGGGCTCTATGTGAAAAGTGTAATGCAGCAGCATTAGCTGATGGACGCAGATGCTTTATTACATACCGCAGGAACATGACCACATGTTTGTGTGTCAACTCATGTCATTTTGAAAATGTGCATGCATGTAAAACCACAGGATATGTGTCACCTCCTCCCCCAGCCCCATAAACTGTGTGTATTGTAGATATCACTTTAAACTGTGGTGTACATAGTAAGTATTTGCATGCAAGCAAAATGTGGGAGCAGGGGTGCATGCACGCACAACCTTATTTTGTGGCAATAAGGACTGATGCTGCCTGTAGACAGATATGGAGGTAGGAATGTGATATAAATAGACATGAATGGGGAAGGATGAATGCATGCAAAGAGGTGCGTGGGGAGAAGATTTGGAGACAGATGAACAGACAGACAGAAGGAAGGAGGGATGGGTGGGAACAGAGAGAGAGTTGGGGAAGAGAGGGAAGCAGGTTTAAGATGAAGAGGCATTAGCTGACGGATGGGTGCATTTTTATAGAGAAGGCAGGTAGGTGAGTATGCCATCAGAAAAACAGGGAAAAGGGACATGTGGGGATGGATGGATTCAAGAAAATGGCTGGACAAGCTGACAGAGGGATAGAAATGATTCGGAGTAATTATGGAGTAGGACTAAAACGAATATGGGAATGGATAGACGGACAGATGACAGCTCCAACAAGTGAAGAGACTGAAAAAAAAAACAGGCAGATAAAAAACATATCAGGAAAGAAACCTAGCCTGTACCAGCTTCGAGCATGAATTTGACAACCACAAAAATAGATAAATGTTACGGATTTCACACACCCACATCCTCTTCAGCCAAGGACAGATCCCACCTGTTTGGATGCCCAGCGAAGAACGGTGCTGAGCCCTCCAGCACCCACGGCAGATCCAAAACTGATCCATAGAGACGCACTCGGATCCGTCCACAGTAAATCAGATGCCTCTTATTTGCCTATTTGACAGGCAAACTTCCATGTGGCACAAGTCTACGGAAAGTGAAGAAGTTGGCTGCAGCCCGTGAGAGCCTATGCCAAAATAAAACTTCACCGTCTTCCTGGAGCCACAAGGCTCATCATTACTATTCCCCCTTGATTAACCGCGCAGTCCTAGGCATGTCACTGGGAAGGCAAGGAGTCCGGCTGAACTCCCTGATCCTCATTCCCAAGTAAAGCGTGTGCTCAGGATTGCAGGCTCACGCATAGACCGTCTTCACCCCTCTTCCTCTAAAGATGATTTCTCTGCCTCACCCCCCCCCCAAGTGCGCTCGTATTTCGTCTTCCTAGCACAGAGATCAGCATCACTTCTGCTGCACCGCTGTTTCGTTATTCCGGGCAAACGAGGAGGCTCCTCGGGCGGGCAGCACAAACACAGCATCAGGAAACCACAAGGCTCCATCCAGCCCCACAGGTCCCCTTTCAAAACAAATCTCTCTCTCTCTCTCTCTCATTTTCCCGCACGCACACACAAACTCAGGGCGCCCCTTCTCCCTTCCCAGCCCGGTGCCCTTACCTCGCTCCAAGTTTTCAGACCGCCCTCCGTCCCTCCGCCACCGCCACCACTGCAATCCGGGTTCGTTTACATTCCTTGGGCGTCCGCATCCTGCGCGGTTCGCAGGCTGGTGGTGCATGCCAGTCTCGGGGTTGCGGGGGGGAGGTGGGTGGGAGGGAGGAGGCGAGTGGGTTGTGCGTGTCTACGCGCGCGCCCGCCTGTGTGGGTTGCGTGTGCGTGGGCACAAGCAGGCAAGAGACTGGAAGATTCCCCCCCCCCATTTCTGCCGCGCCCCGCTTCGCCCCAGCCATTCCTCCTCCTCTCCCTTCCTTCTTACCTACCTGCTGCTGATGCTGCTGGTCCTCCACAATCTGGGGCGCCCTCCCGAGTTAGCCCATCATGCTCAAGGCCGGCAGCCCCCTCCCCACTTCCTCCCAAGCCAGCCAGTCCGACCCACCTCCCGTCTCCTCTTCCCGCCCGGCGTGCCGCTTTACTCCACCCTCTTCTGTCTCCCTAGTTTAAAGCCTCTCACCGCCCAGCCTTGTAAGGAAATAACAGGCAGACGTGGTCTCTCCGGAGCGGCTGGAAACCAACCAGCCAGAGACGCCAGGGCCCCTCCGGAGCTGCCGGCTAGGAAGGAAGGTTGGGCGAAGAGCAAGTAGAGCCTCCAAGTGTAGGGGCAGTGTATCTCAGAATGACCGCGAGAGTCGGCGAGAGGCGGTAGTTAACAAAACAAAACCCAAACTACGTGTCTTGCGTATCTTAAAAGAAGTTCGAGGGGTCCCGAGCTGCCGGCTGAGAAGGCAAGATGGGAGAAGGTCGCTCTAAGAATGCACGCAGAGCCTCCGAGGGTTAGTGCAATTTGGAACCACAGCAAAAGCTGGTGGAAGAAGCAGAGCATCCGAGGGGTAGGGGCAGTGCAGTTTGGAACCACAGCAAAAGCTGGTGGAAGAAAGCAATTTAAAAAAAACTCATGTGTCTTGTCTATGGTAAAACACTAACAAGTTTTATTGGACATAACCTTTCAAAAAGGATAGCCCACTTCTTCAAATGCATCTGAAGAAAAAAGGAGTTATGGCCCATGAAAGAATATTACCAGTAAAACGTCTTAATCTTGAAGGGACCACAGAACTCTTAACCCCCCCTCCCCTTGGGAATTTCTATTGTGTCTCAAAGAGGCTAATGTTCAAGAGGGAGTTTACTGGTCAAATGCGACAATGCTATTAAGACTCTGCTATTCATTCATTTGGGGGTGGTCTTTAGCTTAGTCACCCTGTTATACATGGCTTCCTCTACTTGTGATACAAACATAATGCAGGGCCACCATATAAAATCAGGATTCCCGAAAGAATGCGGAGAAAGGTTTCAAAAGACAACTTTGGTTTAAAGCAAGAAGTTGTAGATGAAGCTCTATTCCCAAAAGTAAGGAAATTCAGACATGTCAGTCCATTCAAAACATGGACATATTGAGCTACTACTATTCTTGTACTTTAACAGCCCAAATAAATACAAGAGGTACATGCAACTCTTTGATCCACAAGAGAAAGAAGAAATCCCTGGTTACCAAGGACTACGTGCATGAAACAACTAGAGGTCTGTTTGTCACATGCAGATCAGCTGGACTGTGATAGTAAATAAATAATAATAATAATGCTGCAAATCTGCTGTTTGCAGATTTATCAAAGTCTGTATTTCATTACACCATTTGCCATCACTCCACATGAGGAATAGAGTAGCTAGTGGGATCATGCTGTAGTGTTGTCTTTATTTATGGTGGAAATGAAGATATGAAAAGGATGCACCAAAGCACCATGTTCTGAATGAGTTGATCTGTGGCCTGAATTTCCTCATTGCAGGGGGTGGTTACGTATTCAACAATAACTTGTTGCTTTAAAGGAAGAAAAATTCTTTATAATCTCTCTGTGTTTAAAATTTAGGAACAACCAACTATTAGTGATGGGACAACTCTTTACTAAACTGCTGTATTTAAGTTATGTTTTTAATTAAAAGCATCCATATAGTATATATTTAAAAGCACCAAAGAATCAGGCAACAGCACTGTGCCATGGTGGACTCACTAGTTTCTCCAGAGCTGTTCGATCTGTACAGAAGCTCTACCTACGGACCAAGTAAAGGAGATTGCCATTGAACCACCTCCTCACAGGAACAATTGGTGGTCCTGCACAACCTTTTCCACCCCCCAGAAAAGACATTCCAGCTTAAACCAGGCTCTAGGAACAGCTGGCCCTACCTAAGGGTGAGGGGGGTTGCAATATGACAATGTGAATTAAAAGGTTACAACAAGGTAAAAATTTTTCTAAAAGGTTTTTTCCTCTCCTATCATTAGTTTCTGTGAGGGAGTCAACAAGGTGACCTCTCCTCAGCCATGATAGCTAGAACCATCATATAACATTTTCAACACATGCATAAAGCTGAGATGCTCCACTTTTATCCCCTACTTATGGACACTGTTTAAGCCAGAAGAAGAGAGATCTGTGGCATGAAACTCTAGCTCCCATACAGTCTAACTAGTAGGATCAATGGCCAAAGATCACTGGAACTGTAGTCCAGCAACACCTGGAGGGCGAGAGAGTCCCCATCCTTGCTTAATCATTTTAATTTTGAAGCCTGGTTGTTGTAAACAAGATATTGAAGTATGTGGCATAGGACTACTGTTCGGCACTTCAGAACTCTTCTTCCACCTGGCTCATAAGAACGGCCCGATTGGGTCACATCAATAGTAGAGTAAAAATAGCAAAAAATACTTACAGACTTCTAAAACAAGCACAAGAGAAGCAGGGAGCTGTAAGAACAGACTTGTATATGAAACAACAGCTTTAAAGTTCCAGCATTTTGTTGTTATTTAGTCGTTGAGTTGTGTACGACTCTTTGTGACCCCATGGACCAGAGCACGCCAGACCCTCCTGTCTTCCACTGCCTCCCGGAGTTGGGTCGAATTCATGTGGGTCGCTTCGATGACACTGTCCAGCCATCTCGTCCTCTGTCATCCCCTTCTCCTCTTGCCTTCACACTTTCCCAACTTCAAGGTCTTTTCCAAGGAGTCTTCTCTTCTCATGAGATGGCCAAAGTATTGGAGCCTCAGCTTCAGGAACTGTCCTTCCAGTGAGCACTCAGGGTTGATTTCCTTCAGAATGGATAGGTTTGACCTCCTTGCAGTCCAGGGGACTCTCCAGCACCACAAAAGCATCAATTCTTTGGCGGTCAGCCTTCTTTATGGTCGGCAAGATTATGTCTCTGCTTTGTAAGATGTTGTCTAGGGGCAAGATGATGTCTTTGCTTTGTAAGATGTTGTCTAGGTTTGTCATCGCTTTCCTCGCAAGAAGCAGGTGTTTGAAAATTTTGTGGCTGCTGTCAGCATCTGTAGTGATCATGGAGCCCAGGAAAGTAAAATCTGTCACTACCTTCATATCTTCCCCTTCTATTTGCCAGGAGCTGATGGGACCAGTGGCCATAATCTTAGTTTTTTTGATGTTGTGCTTCAGACCATTTTTGCACTCTACTCTTTCACCCTCATTAAGAGGTTTTTTAATTCCTCCTCACTTTCTGCCATCAGAGTAGTATCATCTGCATATCTGAGGTTATTGATATTTC